CCTTGTCTCTACTAAAAATACAAAAAATTAGCTGGGCATGGTGGCGCGTGCCTGTAATCCCAGCTACTCAGGAGGCTGAGGCAGGAGAATTGCCTGAACCCAGGAGACAGAGGTTGCGGTGAGCCGAGATCGCGCCATTGCACTCCAGCCTGGGTAACAAGAGCGAAACTCCGTCTCAAAAAAAAAAAAAAAGAAAAGAAAAGGCCTAGGGGAAAGGAAGCATAGAATAGGATACCACATAGGTGTTTGGGCTCCAGTGGATTCTACCTTGTAATACAATTCATTGCCTCAAACGCATTATGTATTTCTCTAGAACAGGTAGTGGAATTGACTAATAATCAACTGGCTTGTGAGCAGAGATTGCGCCACTTCACTCCAGCCTCAGTGACAGAGCAGGACTTCAAAAAAAAAAAAAAAAAAGTCAACTGGCTCATTAGTCAAGCTTCTGAAAACTCTACATTAGAGACTAATGCTGAGAAACACTGAGAGAGAAACGAGTCCAGACGTGCCTTGAAAATTAAGTACAACGGAATAAAGATTAGAATCTAGACCTCAATGCACGTCCTTTTCCCTCTACCAAGAGACAACCCGTTTCTAATCAAAATTTTGCAGTGGAGCTTTTCATATTCAAATTTGGCATTTCCTGTCAAGCCTGGTCATTAATGTTTATTATTCTTTTTATTCTAGAGGTAGGGGTTTCTCTGTTGACCAGGCTAGTGTCAAACTCCTGACCTCAAAAGATCTTCCTGCCTCAGCTTCCCAAGTAGCTGAGATTACAGGCTCAAGCTACCACAGCTGGCATTCATTTAAGTGAGTGGGTGGGTGGAGGGAGAGGCGGCACAGTGCCTGGTACACAGTAAATGCAGGCCAGAATGTTAATAAAATTATCCTTCATTTTAGCTTCTGTACTGGCGAACATTGGTTTTGTATGTTGACTAAATATGAATTTGCAAATGCAAGTCTCAGGCAGATTTTCTGTGGGAGGGAGGGGGGACTGTGCAGATTACATAATTATATAAATGGATGGAACCAGAGATCTGAGGACAGCAATTTGTCATTTGAATTAAATGTACAGAAACAATCCAACCACATATAAGGCAAAGAATTAAAATGAAAATTACTTAATGATTTACTTAGCTGAAAACCTATCTGGGGAAAGAAGGACCCAAAACAGTTTGCAGTGTTTTCCCCATTCTTGAGACTGCCTTTAAATCAGGCAAACCAATCTTCTGCCTTTTGTTTCTTTCATTTAACTGGGAATAGCACAACTTGCGTAGCTTTTGTTTTCCTTCCAGGAGAAAGAATGGGAGGAGTCAGCAAAGACCAAGGTAAGTTCACTTGAGAGCATTGGCTAAGGAAAGACATTATTTTAAAAATTGATTTCCCTTTAATTGATATTTGAGCTTAAATATTGCAAAACAAAAAAGCAGCTTTCTTCCTTTGCTATCAAATTAGTGAGCTTAGTATCAGGCTGAGACCTGCTGTTTCACTGGTTTTTACCAGGTCCTACCCTCATAAAAAAAGAATCCTCACATCATACTGGGCTCTTCACCAGGAAAGCAATGTGCATTTTATAAGCTAATTTAAGATCTTGGAAAAGAGGGAAGTGCTCAGAGTCCATACTAGAACTCCTTCCAGTTTACTGAAAACAAAAGCAATTCTGAAGCACAGGCTATTTCTTACTCTCTGTTCCCAATTACAAAGGCTGCCGGCATTGAACTAAGCAATAGCCCTTCGCAAATCTCTCTCGCAGAGACTGACTGAGTTTGACACAGGGTCTCAACTCTGTCGCCCAAGGCTGCAGTGTAGTGGCAGAACCACCGGTCTTACTGCAGCCTCAATCTCTCCGGCTTAAGTGATCCTCCCACCTCAGTCTTCCAAGCAGCTGGGACTACAGGTGTACTAGCTGAGTATTATCTAAAATGCAAACAATGAAGGCGGATTTTGTTGTGTCTGAAACAAGTCTCATTTGTATCATAGCAAAGCACAACCAGCTATGGTCTTAATTTCTTGCTGAAAAGAAAGGACAGGGACTTTTATTTTTCCACTGTTTTATTATAAAAATCAACATTTCATTTGTTACAATTCAGCTTATTGTAATAATCAAAAAAGGGGTTTTATACAAGGTATTTTTTATACAGTTTATAATTAAAGCACTTATTTTACAAAAGGAGGGAAGTGAATAAGTGGACAAGGGCTGACCAAATGTTGGCCATTATAATATAAATACATCCTTGCAAAGCACCATCGTACCAAAGTCGATGAACAAGAAACACCAGTTGACTTTAAGACAATGACGAAGATTAAAGCTTAAGGGAAAAAAAATAAAGGACAAACATCTGAAAGCAGCACCAGATCCTTCACTTGCAAATAAGGCTAGTCCAGTTTAATCTCCTTGGTATCCTCTCTACTTTTTAAAATTTTTCCTTACTAACTCGTTTACTTAATTTCATGTAATACCGGATTTAATCGGACTTTAAAAATTTTCCCTTTAATAGCCATATTTAGGCATTAGATATACAGTATATCTATATCTATCTCTATCCCCAATCCTGTTTTTCTTTGATTAAAAACAAAACAACTAAAATGGGCAGTTAAGCAAAAGCGTGTTGTCTATAACTCTGTGGTGTTGGTTTTGGACAAACCCTAAGTGATGGGAAATCTAACAGTTTGTTAGATCTGTACTCTGCTTCTAAGTATAAGAAACCATTTAGTCTGTAATTCTATCTGTAAAGTCATGAAGATTTTTTTCAGCAATAAACTCAACAATTTAAGAATGCTTTATGAAAAAGAAAAACAGCAAAGTTTACCTCAATTGAAGGAGGGTGAGGGTAGAGTCAGTAACTGATTAATGTAAGACTCCACCTTCCACTCCACTCAGGTACAGGCTTAGTTTAATGAGATGTAGATGAAGTCGGCCTTAGAGTGTGAATTCATAATGCTTATCATTTAAATTTTTTAAAAATTATAAATGTACAATTTTGTAGTTGAGGTCCAAAGTCTTCTACCGTAAAATGTTGAGAATTTCAAAAGTGAAATTGTGAGACTGTTATAAAATGGTGCCACCCCAAAAGTGAGAAGTGGCACATGTACTGTGAGTACTTTCTAAAATCATCTTCCTCTGGGCTCATTTGAGGTTTGAGAGAAGAAGTACCAAATAAAATTAAATTCCTTGAGCGTAAGAATTCTGATAATGTTTTAAACCACATTTGGCTATCAGCTTCTTTAGGACTCAGTCCACACAGTGAGTGTACAGTCTCATCTGTAGATGCCCAAATATTTGTCCACTAACTGATACTGGTAAACATACTCATATCCATACTCCACATAAACTATGGTTGCCATATGTAGACTTGGGCACCACACATTTATTAAGAGTGTGACATATTTTGAATGTGAAAAGCCCAAGATTTTTGCTTCTGAATCTTGTTAGATTGTAATGATAACCAATATCTAATTCCTATGGCATGCAAATCAATGAAGTGGGATAAACCTTCCCTTACAAGAAATAAAACAATTCAACATATGACATTTCTAAGAATCTAAACTAGGCAGCAGCAGCCCGTTCACTACGTAGAAGCAGGCTTGCTTAAACCATGCTTCTTCAGTCTCTATTATGACTACTGGTATCAAGCCACATAAATAAACACATTTCATTAACACAGTAGGTAAACCACAGCTATCAACTCTACTGGAAGTATTCTTCATTAATAGGGCTTTATAGCTAAACAAAAAGATGATCCTCCAAAACTGACTGCTACGTAATACAGATGGTGGCTATTTTTATACCTTCAATAATGAATGAGTTTCCTTCATATAAAGTACTGACTTTAGGCTTTTTTAAGACAGAGTTTCCCTCTTCTTGCCCAGGTTGGAGTGCAACCTCCGCCTCCCCGGTTCAAGCGATTCTCCTGCCTCAGCCTCCCGAGTAGCTGGGATTACGGGCATGCGCCACCACGCCTGGCTAATTTTTTGTATTTTTAGTACAGACAGGGTTTCTCCATGTTAGTCAGGCTAGTCTCGAACTCCCAACCTCAGGTGATCTGACTGACTTGGCCTCCCAAAGTGTTGCGATTACAGGTGTCAGCCACCACACCTGGCCTGACTTTAGGGTATTTTAAATGATAAAGAAATACAACCCTCAAAATCATCTTAAAATTGTACTGCTCAAAGTCCCTTCCCCAATTACTGGCCTATAATGGATAAAAATGTCCTTTAAAGTCTTCATTTCTAAATATCTATCTCTGTAGATTAGCTGTCCTCAAACTTATTAAAGAATCAGAGATCTCTTGGTGGTGTATCATAAGGCATTTTTATATTAAAATTAAAGTAACTACATAATCTTCCGCTAAACAGACATCTTGTGATATGCTGTAAGAGTGGCAGCAAGTGCCAAAGGCATAATATAATTTTATGGAAGAAAAATTATTAGTGAGAAAATTATATCCACCAACTCTATTTTTTTCCTGTGAATGTGCCATTATATGACCTAAGTAACAAAACTCCTTAAATCACTATTCAGAGACCAGGACTCTGTCGGAGTCAAGTCCAGGCCTTAGTAATAAAAGACCACTTCAGTGCAGAATAGCTTACTGTGGTGCACAGAAAGTATGTTACGCTCAAGTTTATTTCTCAGATAATTTTAATCACATCAGTTAGTGCGAATATTTTATGACACATGTTCAAAATAAATACTTTTGCATATAAGGAATCTAATGAAGCATTCATTTTGCCCCTTGGACAATGAATTTAATATGCCAAATTTTAAAATCCCTTTTCTTTTTTCCCCCTAATTTGTGGTCTCATGTATTTCCTCTCAGCTTTTCCAATACAGCTCTTGTTTAATAATCAATATACAGTTTACTTAAGCTTAACTGTCCATTTAACCTAACAGTCAATAAATCTTTCCAAATTTGACAATTCTTTCATTAAAACGTACTCCCAGAAATATTAAGAATCCATCTCATCTACCCCAGAAAGAGAATACTGAGTTTAAGCTGAACTGCCTTCAAATAACTTTAAACAAATTGGCACACAAATTAGTATTTTGCAAGAAGAGGCCATTGCCATCGCAGTACAAGCACCTGGACTGGGATAAACAAGGCATATTCTTCTTAGTTTATGATAGTGCAAGTTCCCACATGGGAAGCCTACCAGATAAAGATGCACATTTAAAAATGTAAACATATAGAATTCTCAGATTCTAATCGACACCCAGTTATTGCTAACCTTTCCATCTTCGTTTAGGCATCAAGTGCCCCTGTGTATCACAGAATGCAAGTTCAATGTCCATTTCATCTGAGACTGTGGGCACTTAGTTCCAGCAACAGGAAGCGTTAACGCTTATCTGACTGAAAAGTAGGACACTGATGAATTTACCATTTGCTTATATGCAAAATCAAGTGCACCTGATTCTTATAAACAGTACCCAACAATTAGCATTATTCTAAAACCACAATTTTCTCTTTAAAAACTTTACTTGGGTATTTTTTAATTGCATGAAAAGTTACTTCACCCTTGCCAAAATTCTGAATCCTTTCTTCCACTGTTTTCTCTTGGGCCCTGAAACCCAGAGGCCTTAGCAAAACAGAATTAAAAGAGAAAAAAAAAAAAAAAAAATCAATAATTAACTAACCAACATCTCTTAAGGTAAAAATACATTAGCTTTAAAACATTCAATTTTAGCAGAGAAATGCTAGACATGTGTAAAAAGCAGGACACTAACTTCTAGCAAGATGGCAGAGCAAGCACTTGAATCATTCCACAGGTCAGCCCTGATAGCTGAAGAATTAGCAGCCCCAGTACCATACATGACAGCAGGTCAGGCAGATCATGAAAGAGGCTGCCATTATTCCTTCCACCCAAATTCTGACAGCTGAGAAGTTAATAGTTGGCCTTCTCATTTAATCCCCATTGTTAAATTTGTTAAATTACCTTAATCCATAATGGGTAAGAGAGAATGCACGTAAAAATATGAGGTGATTACAAGAATAACTTGTGGATAATTTGAAAACAGCCTAACATTCACAGTGGGTAACGGGATGATGTTGAACTCGTGTCACACATTAGAAGAGGCATGTATGTAGACATCACTCTGAGAAAAACCAGCCTAAAGAACATGAAAACGTCAAAAACTGTTAATATAGGGAAAATCCTAATAAGAAAAAAATTCTTTTTAAGTAGATTGTCTCTAACCAGAACATAATTAAATGTTTTACTCAAAAAAAATATATAAAAATGATTTCATACTGTGATATATGCTGAAAGTAGTGCAAGGATATATGATTACTTTACAACAAAAACATAATGGTTAAATTTTTAATTCTTAAACATTGTCTATATGTGTTGTAAAAAGACATTTTAATGAGCATTAAAACAATCTTGGAAGAAGAGCAATAATATGTCTTGATCATTATGCAAAAAACAGCAGTCGAATTGAAGAGCTAAGCTTACTGGGGAATGGAGCTAGTAGAAATATTAAAATCAAACTTTAATTTAGAAAATTCCATTTAGTCAATGCCTCAGCTTAAAAGCTTAAATAAATCATGGTATCTTGGCAAAATGACCTACCAAGTTGCTGGGGGAGGCAGCAAGGTAAAAATACCAAGAGAAAAAATTCATTTTTGACAGAGGTATGAATTCTAAAGGTAGGGACAGAAGACTTGCACACACACAGCTTCATAGCATCTTATCAGAGGGCTGATCCTCCTACAACAGAAACACCCAGAATGGATTTTTATAAATATCTACTTTCCTCACTAATATTGTTGGATTCCTAGAGAAATTCCAAGACATACTAACCTTATCCAAGGTTAGTATTAATTTCTTTTTTTTTTTCTTTCATGATTTCTTACTTGTTGGCCCTCAAATGTTAGTTAACTGAAGGCTATTTGGCTACTACCAAGTATCTATGGTTTGCTGCTCTGAGATGGACTTAATAGTTTTTCTTTCTCTCTTTTTTTTTTTTTGGTATCAGCAAAGCCCAGACATTCCTGGTCAGTGATGCCTTTATTATTCCTGTTTCCTTTGTACTCAGTTGCTTCACTGGGTTTAAGGCATGCTTTGTGTATTTAGTTTGCAAAAATAAAACTTTTAGTACAAATTTATTTTTTTATACAAACTTTTATGGCACAAGCAGCAAATCTGCTGTTTTAAGAAAATATATAAATATTCTTTTCTTCTGTACAAATATCTCCAGTATTCCCTACCCCATTTTATAATTTTAACTGTACATGGTCTGCCTCATCCTTCTCTAAAAGCTCCCTCCCCCCCTCCAGATCTCAACCAAATGTATATTTACATTTTTACGTTGGAGGCAGTCAGAGGAGGAGGGCCCCTCCTCAGGAGGAGTCTGTACAGGGAGAGGGTGGCGGTGGGTAGAGGTGATGAGAATAGCTCCTCTCTGTGTATGGAGAAGGCGGGCAGCTTTCATAGTTCTCCTCTGCCGACAAGTATTGGCTTCGAGGTGTGGGAGGTGGGGGCACAGGTTCTGAATCATAGTTCAAGTCACTGGTATAGCCCTTGGCTGTTGCCACTGAGGTCATTCTCCGGCTAGGAGCATAGTCACTGTCACAAACATCTGTGCTGCAGGGTGTGGTGGGGGGTGCAAAGTGCCGGTAACTATATGGTCTGTAGCTGGTACAGGGAGAAAATAAAGAAAAGCAGAGTTAGTTTTACAGAAAAATGATTTTCACTCTCAGAACAGAAGTATTAGATGTAAACTTCACTTTGAAAACAATAAGCTACTGCAATTTAAATTTACACAGACCAAGAGGCAATTTTCAGTGGCAGATTGGCTGGAGAAGATACCACGTACTTTCTTATTTGCAAATAAGAAAGTGGCAAGTGAAAATAACCACGATGGGAATATAGGGGTGAATTCAGTCTAGCCTCTGGATGTGCTCTTATATCTTCAAGTTAAACTGCACCACAGAATAAAAAAATGACTATTCAAATTTGTTCTGCAGTTTCATAGCCTATGGAAGAATGGGTTTTTACATATTTTACACTACTAAAACATGTCAGCATTTCCTCAACATTCTTTAACTGCTCCAAAATTAACCTGATGAATAACTTAATGACACCTGAAGACTTCATTTCTTTCTTCTGTACAATTTCTATACAATCCAAGCTGGATTTTGGTAGATAGCCTAAGGGGCGTAACTACTCCATTACTGTATTCTTAGCAAAGGGAAACTGCTGTGGTTGGGAGAAACAGTTTTCATTCCCTGTGTATAGATAAGTACCTGTCAGAAGAGCAGCTTTCAACATCAAAATGATAAAATTTAAATACCCATTAAGGGCCAGTGATTTTTCTAATGTATATTTCAGAGGCTTTATTTCTTACACTTGTTTATCTTTTTAAGTAATTTACAGTTGTTAGGTTTGTAGCATTGCTAACAAAAGAAAAAGTCATTGGAAAGAGAGAAACACACTAGTGAAAATAAGAGCTGACCTATAGTTCTGGCTTTTCTAGTCATTCCTACTTCTATTTGTAACTTCTTACACCTGTTTATTCTAAATATGGTAAAGCTGATCTTAAATTTATCCCAAAGATATTTTTCATAAGCTTTCCCATCAAAGTGGCTAAAAGAGAAGGGGCAAAAGCAAGTTAAAAACTGATACAACGATTCATAAAATACCTAGTGATATAGAGCACCACAAGATAATATATCCTAGGATCTCAGGATACAAACCATTTGATATCACCTGGACTTGCTTCAAAAGAAATGGCTGCCATGATTGTTCACAAACAATTACAGATTGAACTCCTTGTTCTACCCTGCCTCCCCTTATTACTAGTGCATTTCGTTAGTCTTTAAAAAAGAAAGAAAGAAACCAGCCTGGGCACCATAGCAAGACCCCATTTCTACAAAAAAATTTAAAAAATTAGCCAGGCGTGGTGAAACACACACCTAGCTAGTTGGGTGGCTGAGGCAGGAGGACTGCTTGAGTCCAGGAGGTGGAGATTGCAGTAAGCTATGATTGTGCATCTGCATTCCAGCCTGGGCGACAAAGCAAGACTGTCTTAAAAAAAAAAAAAGAAGAAGAAGAAATAAAAATAAAAAGGCTGCAAGGCTGCCAGAGACCAAAAGTTACATGACACACTGAGTGGGTTCTCAAAGACGTTTACTATCAATACTGACATGATGTCACAGTTTGTTTTTTGGTCTTAACCTTTTGTCTAATCAGGTGTCAATCCTTGGTGAAATTTCTAAGGTCAACATTTAAAAGTCCAAATACTTCTATTTTAATGGGGAAAAAAAAAAGAAAAACTGGATTAATAAAATTCTTTCATGTCCCAGTTTAGACAAAAATATCAACAAATGATGAAAAGTTTGACAGAGGAAACAGAAATTGGGCTTATATGTAAAATAGTTAAACAAAAATAGTTTTTTATGTAATCATGTTTATTTTGATGAGTGCTTTATTCAATCTGAATTAAAGACATCAATTTTTAAAAATAAAATTTTGTATCTTTTCTCATTTCCCAATTTTTAGGGTCCTGCTTTTTCTGTTTTGACTTCCTAGAAGAAACCTGGGGCAGAGAAAGCAACATTACAACAAATCATTAAACTATCAGTTCACAGCCAAGACTATTTCAAACAGTCTTATCTAAACTGAAATGAGAATTCTGAGTGAAATACTATAAGTAATTTCTACTTTACTTCTATACATGGGTGAGGTCCTATAAGGTCAATTTGACTGAAATGCTAGGAAAGATAATAGAAGATTATCTAGAGAAGATAGACGACAGAAAAGATTATCTAGAAGATAACAAGGACTTGAGGGATGCTCATAAACCCTGGGCACTTCAGTGTTTAGACAGAAACTCTCAAGCTACTTATACTTATGGTCTGTTGGCCCTTCAAGGAACACAGAAGTGGAAGCTGACACAACAGTACTTGACCTGCTCAACACACTTTATAGACCCATGAATTAGCAAAAAGGAGTAATTTCCCCTTATAAATACACTTATTTCAATCTTTTTTTATTCCACGCAACTATGAGAAATCTTTCACTCCAGATTGTAATAACATGCAAGCAATGGCTGATCTTACATTTCTCTCAACTTTTCTAAAATTCTGTGTTCTTAATATGATGCTGTTTTAAACTCTCAATTCTATGAACCAATCTTATCCCAATACTTCATTCTTAGAATATCCAACTATTTTAAACCAGTCACTTTGGTGGGCAACTCCTCTTTAGAATACTGCCAAAGCCTGTGGCTGTATTTTATTATTCTAAACGCCAGCATTTGTGACTCTCTTTAAAAAAAAATGTATCGGCCAGGCAGGGTGGCTCATGCCTGTAATTCCAGCACTTTGGGAGGCCAAGGAGGGTATCACCTGAGATGAAGAGTTTGAGATCAGCCTGGCCAACATAGTGAAACCCCACCTCTACTAAAAATGCAAAAATTAACTGGGCATGGTAGTACGCATCTGTAATCCCAGTTACTTGGGAGGATGTGGCAGAGAATCACTTGAACCTGGGTGGCAGTGGTTGTAATGAGCTGAGATCAAGCCATTACACTCCAGCCTGGGCAACAAGAGCGAAACTCCATCTCAAAAAAAAAAAAAAAATGTGTATCGCCCTGAAGGGAAAGGATTTGTGGTAGAGGCAATGTCTGTACTACCAAGACAAGATGCCTAGTCTCACCCTAGTGACCATAGTCTACTCATTTTGGGCTACATCAAGTCCACAACTAAAATACTTTCTAATAAATACTGCAACTTATTTTAGAGGAGGATGTGTATTACCTGTATGACCTATGAGTAGAAGGACTGTTTGAAGAATATCCAAATTCCATAGTGTAATGTGATCGTTCTGTGGCTGGGGATGGTGGAGGGTTCAAAATCTAAAAGAAAAAATAATTAAAATATTAAAATAACAACAGTCCACTCCATGAGACTTTCTTTCAATTTTTCTGCCTTCATCCCTATTAGTGTTCCTTTACAATCCACTATTAGCACAATTCGTCTTTTCAAAAGAACTGACCTCAAACAGTACTTTAGGATTGTGGCTTCCCCATTGCCTAAGACCTCATCATGGCTAAAAAGTGCAAAGTGACAAAAAAGAAAATCTGTAACCTACAAATCATTGGTTTATGGTCAGCTCAGCTAGGTTCTGGTTTTTTAAAATTATAAGTATTTAGAGAAAAATTATTAATTTAGGAGAAATTCCAGGTGTGCTTCCTCTTTTGGGAGGTCATAAAATGAAGGCCCTAATCCCTCAAGAGGTACCATTCAGCAGTTCTACTTTTCCTTGAAATGTGAAATTAACGCCCAACACTTTCAAATATTCTAGTTATTACACAGTAAACTTACAAGAAAAATTTAAAAGCATGGTGGGGGGGTGGAATTCTTCTTTGAGCCTTTTATGCCTAAATTTTAGATTCAAAAACTACTTTTACATTACCAACACTGATCACCCACATTTAAATGAGTTTAAATATCTAAGATCCTATGTATGTTGCATTCAAAGGAAAACAGACGGCTTACTGCAGGGAAGTAAGTGCCTTTGGTGCTTGAAGAACTGCTTGATGATGCTCCTGTAACATGAGCTCGATCATAGGGGGGTCCACTGCTACCCCCCATGATACTGAGGGAGCTTATCATTGATTTACCTCGAGACATTCCTAAAATAAAAGGAGGATAAAAACTGAAGATGAGTAAAATGTATAAAAATGCATGAAGCAATTTTATTCAACAGTAGGATTACAAATATCAACAGTCAAGTAGTCAGATTTTAGAATTACTCTCTCTTTTCTTAATAATTGAAAACATTTAATGGAGAAAGGAAATCAACGTTCTCTAGCTAGCCTAGAACAAGGCCAATAATAGCTTCCACCTTCTCCCTTTCCTGGTAGAAGCAGGGCTATTTAAAATAAGAGGTTTTCAACCCCTTGGAGGATTTGAAAGGATTGTAAAGGGCAGAGGTTGTGAAGCAGCATATATTAAATAACTGACATGCTCAAAAGAAAACAAAACAAAAACAAAACATTTTTTAGGGCACAAACAACATATGAAAGAGTATTTCTTCATTTAATGAATATAAATACTGCTACAATCAAAACTACCAATGCTAAAGAAGAAATTCTAATTTTTCCAAGTAGCTTCCCAAATTCTACCAACTGAAAATAGGTATGGCAACAAAGAAACATTACCATTAACAGTTTAAAAACCAGGTTTATCTATTTAGGAGTTATACCCATAGTAAGTTCCTATTTTTAGAGGGCTTTTGCAAGGCACCTCCTTCTCCACATTCATTAAAAGGAAGGCTTCTTTTAACTAAGGGTGCCAGAAAACATTAAAAAGAAAGCTACTTCCCTACAGCAGTATGGTCTACTCCAGTATAAAACTTCTGGCTCCTCAGTTATGCCTAAACTAGCCCTAGTTCCCTGTCAGCACTTGAAGTCAGGAGAAAACGTAATACATATTCCTCCCTTCTATCACCCAGCTATTTACAAATCTTTGTTGGCTGACAGGAATCTTACGTAATTTTTGGCCTCCTTTTATTCCTGGGCTCCACAGTACTAGAGTTCCCTCGTGGTAAACTTAAAGAACCTGTGGTTTGTAACTCTTTCACTAAATGACTGGCTGATTCACCTTCCGTAGCATGCATCTAGAACTGCAGTCAGAAAGGCTTACCGCTTGCCTATGTATTTGCTTTATATGCTCTGGCAATTTCTACCAAACCATATCTAAGGCCTTCTGTGTAAAGAAAAGGTACTAACAGTAAAAAAGAACATCTGTTCTTAGAATTGTTTAAACTCAGAGTAATCTGGTTTCAAATAGACTCTAGGTAGTATTCTTTTCCGTAATGGAAACCTGGCAGTCTTGCAGGACCAAGACTTGATTCTGAATGGATCCGTCCTGACTCACCTGGAAGAGATCCTGACAAAGAACTTGGGTGTGGCACATAACCAAGAGGCACAGAAGCTGGTCCATGAACTACATAGTCATTAGTCATGGTTTCCCCATCTCCTTTCATACGTGGACACAACATCCTCTGGCAGATAAAGTATATGGTTCCAGACACAAAAATGGTGACAATTACTCCAATAACAGAACCAACTGTATTGGTGGCCTGTGGTGCTGGTTCTTCAGTTGGATCTAAAATGAAGAATGCAGTATGGTTATTTTATGGAAAAACAACTATATATTCAAAATAGTAATCAAAAAAAGGGCTTGCTGATAGGATATAGAGCTATAAGCCTAATGAAGATAATTCATAAACACTTTTCTTTTTTATGAATATACACCACGCTCCAAGGACATATGGAATAAATGTCATCATTAGGAATCAAAATGAACTACCCTTAAGTGAAGGCAGAAATAAAATAGGTTGGAAAGTATAATTGTAAATGGATAGAAACAAAGATGGTAAATGAAGTACAGATTTAAACACCATTAAGAAGCTTTAAATATATACACAAAATCCGTTCTACTTCATTCTGTATACTATAAAAATTAACAAGGTTATTTCAAGATTTCAGGAAAAAATTTACAGTCAGAAAGGATAAACCTAGAAAAGTCATCAAATGTTTTACCTGGAATGGTGACGAAGCCAAAATCAACTCTGAGCACATGTTAGATTTTAGATTTGAATAGTGACATTTAGGCCTGATGAATGGACAATGGAAACTAAAGATGAGCCTTAGTTCTCAAATCCCCTATGCTGCTGCCTTCAGGCTGTATGGCTGCCTGAGACCAAGGAACATAAGGTCTTTAATACTTGATTACTGGATGACTCATAAAGAAAGGCCAGATTGCCAGAAAAGGACACTGCCTCAGGGATTCACCTTCACTGGATCCCTTAAAGAAGCAGTAGGCATCAATATTAGAGGTAGAGGGAAATTGTTTAAACTCAGAGTAATCTGATTTCAAACAGACTAGATAGTATTCTAGTCGAAATTAAAGCATTGCTCTTTCTATTCAGAGGAAAAATTCTTCCATTCTGAAGTTAAATTATATCTCACAGTCATAGATTCTTTAAAAAAAAACTTCCTCTTGCTTCATCTTACCTCAAATCTCCTATTCATATAGCTAAACTCATTCTCTGACAGATTATATGAAAGAAATGTGTGAAACTGACATCTCTAAGTTACATAATATATAGGGATTATCATTTACAAATTTAGTCCCTGAAATCTGAGGCATAGACTCTCTTTAGTCCTTGAGAGCAACCATCTCATCTTTTCATTCCTTTTTAGTGCCTTAATATTCCTTTGCGATGCCAAGCTTCAAGAAAGAAAAGTTTATATTCACTACCCTCAATTCCGAATCTTTGGGTCACACCGTTAACTCCCTGAAATCAGGCTTCTACCCTCACCACTGCACTGAAACTGTTCTGGCAAAGGTCAAAGTTCTCCTTTTTGCCAAACTCAACATATTCTTCATTTCACTGACCTCTTTACATAATACTGCTGGCTCCTGTTTTAAGAAAAAAAGTCTGACCAATATCCTTCCAAGACACCATTCTCTTAATTTTACTATTTCTGATTATTCTATCTGCTTCCTTTGTTGGCTTCATTCTTTTTCTGCCTGCATCTGAAGTGCAGATGTTTTCCAGAGGGATTTCTATCTATCACCTACTATTTTCCTGGGAGATTCCATCTACTGCCACAGCTTTAATTATCATCAATAAACTGAAGAGCACCAAATCTCTCTTCTGAGCCACAGATCCTTATAATCAACTTCCTGAAGAGCTTCGACAGGATATTCCATGAGTATCTCTCAGGCAACATATCAGAAACTGAACTCACTGTCAGCATCATCAGTCATTTTCCCTAGATCCCAGGCATAAAAAGACCATAAATGAAGTCATCTAGTATAAGATAATAAAAAGTGATGGGGCTTGTGGCAAAGTACATGCCTGTTTAACTTAAATTTAACTTAAATTAGACATTGCATCAATCAAACATTACATCTGCAGCCAAGATGCAGTATAGTACTTTAGTTTTCACTTCCTGCTATATATCCTACTTAAACGACTCCAGTCACTCAATTAAGTACCTGTGGGCCAACTTAAACTTGCCAGCTGTATCTAAGTGGTTACCAATTCCTCTTTATTCTACTTCTGAAATAACTCTGAAATCTCTCCTTGCCACCCCCACTACTCCTCCTCATGATTTAGATCTTTATCATCTTCTGCCTAAACTCTAATAGCTTCCTTTTTAAATTATAGGCTGCAAGTCATTCGTAAACGGTGAGAATGATTTAGTGGGTTACAAGCAGCTTTGAAAAAAATAAAGTGTCAGAATGCATTCTATGTAATATGGGTAAATAAGTGTTGTATGACACTTTTCTTTAATGCATGCGCTCACATCTTTGCATTACTCTTGATGTGGTCAAACGAAATTTGAAAGCAACCAATCTGACAGATTTCCCTGCCTAAAAGCTTATCACCTCCAACCCACTGCCTTTACAGCTTTTGTACTGCTTAACCATGCTAGTCTTTCTCTTGAAAATTTCAGTGACTCTCCATTGTTAATACTGCCTAGGCTCTTGAGAAGAAAAACATAGTCCTCCATCATCATATCTTTACCTGTGTTCTCTCTCATTGGCACCCCTCAACAGAGCCTGTATTTTGGCAGTCCCATTACATGAAATTTCCCAAAGGTGCCTGTTTCACTCTTTTCTGCTTTTGAACAGTATATTCCCTCTGCCAAAAATGCAATTTCTCCACTTATCTGCATAATGAATACTATTCATTGATCAACACTCAATCTTTTTTTTTTTTTTGAGACAAGTCTTGCCCTGTCACCCAGGCTGGAGTGCAAAGGTGCGATCTTGGCTCACTGCAACCTCCGACTCCCAGGTTCAAACAATTCTCCTGCCTCAGCCTCCCGGGACACTAAGATTACAGGCAGCTGCCACCACACCCAGCTAATTTTTGTATTTTTTAGTAGAGACGAGGTTTCTACTAAAAATACAAGGCCAGGACGGTCTTGAACTCCTAACCTCGTGATCTGCCCACCTCGGCCTCCCGAAGTGCTGGGATTATAGGCATGAGCCACTGGGCCCAGCACAACACTCAATCTTAAATGCCATTTTTCTAAAATGCCTTCCTTGATCAAGTCCATCTTTGTCCCTAAAAAGCTGACTACTCTCTCATTTTTTTTCTTTTTTGAGACGGAGTTTCACTCTTGTTACCCAGGCTGGAGTGCAATGGTGCGATCTTGGCTCACCGCAACCTCCGCCTCCTGGGTTCAGGCAATTCTCCTGCCTCAGCCTCCTGAGTAGCTGGGATTACAGGCACACGCCACCATGCCCAGCTAATTTTTTGTATTTTTAGTAGAGACGGGGTTTCACCATGTTGACCAGTATGGTCTCGATCTCTTGACCTCGTGATCCACCCGCCTCGGCCTCCTAAAGTGCTGGGATTACAGGCTTGAGCCACCGCGCCCGGCCCACTACTCTCTCATTTCTACTCCTACCTGTGTAGATTTCTATTACAGCACTTATCACACTCCATAATCAATATATGTACTATGAGCCACACTATGTGTTTTTTAGGTTAAATATCATTCTCTTCATTTTGAAAAAGAAGGCCTGTAATTCCAGCACTTGGCAGGCTGAGGTGGGTGGATTACTTAAGCTCAGGAGTTTGAGACCAGCCTGGGCAACATGGCAAAATACCGTCTCTACTAAAAATACAAAAAATTAGCCGGGTGTGTTGGGGTACACCTGCAGTCCCAGCAGCTTGGAAGGCTGATGTGGGAGAATCACCTGAGCCCTGGAGGTTTAGGCTGGAGTGAGCTATGACTGCACTACCGCACTCCAGCCTAGGTGATTGGGAGTAAGACCCTGTCTCAAAAAATAAATTAATAAAATTATAAAGATGAGGAAACTAAAGTTTAAAAAGAACAAATAATTTGTTGGGGGGAGGAGCTAGGATTCAAATCCAGCTCTGCTTAGTTCCAGAATTCCTATTCTTATTACTATTTCAACAATAGGGGACTTTGAGAAACTTGGTGCAGGTAGCATGTATCCTCAGCATACACAGCAGAGTGTCTACAACAGTGTAGTAAATGCTTGTTGAATAAATGAATGGAGTCTAAGTCTTATTGAGTAGTCCCACTTGAAGTCTGTAAAAATACCAACTTAAAGTTCTCATTACAGGTTAAAGAATTTTTAAACGAATCCTTTCTAAATTCTATCAAATACATTTGACAAGGTAGACCTGACTTATGCTGAATTCCATTCAGAATTAAGTTTATCAATTTGGGATATATTATATGTTACAGCAGGGATCCCTAAACCCCTGGCCATGGACTGGTACCGGTCCATGGCCTGTTAGGAACTGGGCCACAAAGCAGGAGATGAGTGGCAGGCCAGAAAGCACTACTGCCTGAGCTCCATCTTCTGTCAGATCAGTGGTAGCATTCAATTCTCACAGGAGCACGAACCCTATTGTGAACTTTGCATTTGAGAAATCTACGTTGCACATTCCTTATGAGAATCTAATGTCTGATGATCTGAGGTGGAACAGTTTCATCCCAAAACCATTACCCATCTCCACTTGGAAAAACTGTCTTCCACAAAACAGGTCCCTGGTACCAAAATGGTTGGGACCACTGTTTTAGGGCACTCAACAACAGTTATGAACCCTGAAGAAACTATAGGCTATTCAGCCAAGGGTCCCTAAATTTAGGGCTATACATTGGCTTGTCGTCAGGCTGGATTTTAAGAAAGCTCCTAAAATCTTTTGACAATCGAGAAACTGATGAAAATACTTCAGGACAACAATGGAATACAGTTAAAAACATGTACTAACATTCACTAAGTTCAGACCAATTGATTTCTTTTTTTTTTTTTTTTGGAGATGGAGTCTCACTCTGTCACCCAAGCTAGAGTGCCATGGTGTGATCTCAAGGTCGCTGCAACCTCCACCTCCCAGGTTCAAGCCATTCTCCTGCTTCAGTCTCCCAGTAGGTGGGACTACAGGCATGTGCCACAACACCCAGCTAATTTTTGTACTTTTAGCAGAGACAGGGTTTCACCATGTTGGCCAGGCTGGTGTCCCACTCCTGACCTCAAGTGATCCACCGACCTGGCCTTCCGAAGTGCTGGGATTACAGGCGTGAGCCAACACGCCCTGCTGATTTCTATGTATCTAAATGATTTGAGAATTTTGTAACTTTGGTTATAGTAAAATAGTATTTATTCTTTTCTAGTGCTATAGTAAAATAATATTCTTTTCTAGTGCTTTACTAAATGTTTCTGAGCATAATAAAATGGCTATGTTTAAGGATTACTGAAAGCAAAACATAAAAAAATCCTTTGCACAAATAATTAGCTTAATATTAATATTTATTACTTAGAAAGGAAATCTTGATAAGTAAACCTCACGCATAAGAAAAAAAATTGTTTAAATTCTCTGTTAAGAGTAATTTATAGATCTCAGTCCTACTTACAACAATCCAGTTCATCTGATTTGTCACTACAATCCACATTATGATCACACTTCTTGTGCTTTCCAATGCACTGACCATTGGCACAGCGGAACTGATCAATTAAACAAAGCACTGGGAAAAAAATGTAAATAGTTTTCTTATTTTTAATATCACGTAAAATCAAACTCTGGCAAGAGTCAAAAGGTGCTTTCTGAATACAAATGAAAAACAAATTAGGCTTTTAGCTGTAACTTAAATATTATTCTCTGGAGTTCCACTGGTTGAGAGAGAAAAAAAAAGAGTGGAAAAAAAAATCCAGCAGGAAATTTCCTATTTTATTCTTTACATTAAATTCCCTGTTTCACTAAATAATTCTAGAGAACTTGGCTAGTTTGTTTTTACCATGGGAAAGGTTAGTAAGAGAAAGTGAAGAATATAAAATATGTTAGATTGTAATTAATAAATCCACTAATTCAGAGCTCATTGGAAACAGGGACTATTTTTATATCCTGAAGGCCTAATATCTTTTAGTTCAATATCTCAATTTTCAAAGCTTATTAATTTGTATAAATCTTACACATGTAAAGTGAATTAAAACAATAATATAGAACATGGTACTACGATCAGAAGTGATACAGTCACATGTACTTGAAAAACCCCAACTGACACTAAGCCAAGTAACACTGAATTTTAAATAACTGAATGGGAAAAAAGGATTGCATGCTGAGGCACGGAGGAATTCTGTATACCTTCACAGTTCTTCTCATCTGATTTGTCCTGGCAGTTTGCATCTCCGTTGCACCGGAGGGCACCATCAATACACTGCCCACTGGCACACTGGAACTGGGACTCTGAGCATACGGGACAATTGAGTTCGTCACTGTGGTCTTCACATTCAGTAAACCCATCGCATCGCCAAGCCACAGGGATACAGTCAATTTCCCCCGTGAAACAAGTAAACTGCTGAGGAGAACATGTTGGGGGTTCTTCAAATGAACAAGGGGAAGGGGAGTGACAAAAACACAATCATGATCACACAGAAGTATAAACACATACCTAAGTGACGCTCATTTAATAATTAACATACACAAAATACTTTATAATAAATATGATGTATAAACTATCTCATCTAATCAGAGAAGAAATAAAAGTTTTCACATTACTTCCTTTAGAAACACTATAAACTTTTGCCTGTAGAACTATAAGGCAAAAGTTTTCTCATTTATTGTAATCCAAACACGATAATATTTGCAATCCATTACAATCTCACATATAACCTAGGAATCATTACTATAACTACCAAATATTTTAAAGTTAGCCTAGCACTCTTAAGTTTTCTAGCTCTAACACTCTCAAAGGACAGTTCATGAACCCCTCAGGGTTCCTGAGACCTCTTTCGGGGGACCCACTAGGTAAAAACTATTTTTATAATAACATTAAGATGTCGTCGCTTTTTTTGCTATCTTTGCACTGATGCTACAAAAGGAATAGTGAATAAAACTTGATACCTTAGAAGATGCACGGAAATGACAACATACTGTATTAGTAATCACTATACTGTATACAGCCACACATGCACAGTTTAAACAAACATACGAAAAGGCCAACTTCATTTAAGAATGTCAGTGATGAATCAATAAAAAATATTAATTATATTAAAATCAACCCAAGTGTATACCTCTTCAATATTCTGATCAATTAAATGGCAATTATGCATAAAGCTCATGTTGCAAACCTAACCATGACAGTTTCTAATGGGAAAGCATTTGTTTGGAGTTGTGAATGCAACTCAAATGGAATGTCATTTTAACCTGAAAGAATGATTGACAGGTAAATTATACAGTAGTTATTTACATTTGTCTGTTAGTGAACTGTCTAGAGAACGCATAACTTTATGATATGACCAAGGGTCAGAAAAACCTATAACTTTACAACAGAGAACATTACAGATTACAGGCGAACATTTTATATGGGAAATTTTAGGGATTATTTTCTAAGAGCCTATTATGTATTCAGCACTATACCATCTATACTGTGTGGAGAATTAAAATAGATAAAATATATCCATGTCCTTAAAGAGCTTTGAATTTTGTTGGGGATAGAAAGAAACTAACAAACATAAAACAAAGGACACTGCTTTGAACTGCATGTCATGTAAACTGTGTGATATAGTTTGGATATTTGTCCCCCAAACCTCATGCTGAAATGTAATCCCCAATGTTGGAAGTCAGGCCTGGTGGGAGCTGTCTGGGTCATGGGGGTGGATCCCTCATGCCTTGGTGCTGTCCTCCTGATAGTAAATGAGTTCTTGGGAGACTTGGTTGTTTAAAAGTGTGTGGCACTCACTCTGGCACACTCTCTCTTGTTCCCTCTTTTGTCATGTAACCTGCCTGCTCCCCCTTCACCCCAGCCTTGAAAGTTTCCTGAGGCCAATCCAGACCCTGGACAATACAGCTGGCAGCAATAGAGCTAGCAATAAATGGCAGAGCCAATTAAACATTTTCTTTATAAATTATCCAGCCTCAGGTATTTATAGCAATTCAAGAATGGCCTAATACACTGTGGTAACAAGTGCTGCTATGCAGAGAAAGAAAAGAACAGTAACAGCTAGTGAAGGTTCCCTAGATCATGGAAAGACCGGCTACACCTTAGAAAATTAGTAAAATTTAGGATAGGCATCAAAGAGAAAGACGTCCTTGAATTACCTAAAGTAAATCCACAGAAGCAAAACAATTAGAACATGCCATAGCGACCCTCAAATTCTAAACAGCCAAACAAAAATAAAACTAGCCATTTGGGAAGAATACAAAGTAAGATAAATAGGTAAGACAGCTTAAATGAAATCACATTTTGAAAATCAGGCAGAAAAATTTAGATTTTCCATTTCACTTATTTCTACTGTAGAATCAATATTAAATTACAAAAAAAGACATGTACACAAATGGTTATTGCAGTTTTATTAAGAGGAGGGAGTCTCACTATGTTTCCCAGGCTTGCCTTGAACGCTTGGGCTCAAACACTCCTCCCACCTCAGTCTCCTGAATAACTAGGATTACAGACATGCACCACTGTGCCTGGCTCCAGTTTTATTTTTAACAACAACAGATTTAAAACAATGAAAATATCCCTCAAAGGAGAGTAATAAATTGTAATATTAAATAACAAAATACAACTATAAAAAGGGAAAACTACAGTTATACTCAACTGTATGACTGAATCTCAAAAAAATATTAAGCAAGAGAATTCAGACTCAAAAGAGCACATACAAAACGATTTCATTTATATAAAGTTTAAGAATAGGCAAAACTAATCTATGGGGATAAAAATAAAAACAGTGGCTACTTCTAGAAAACAAGTGACTGTTTAGGGGCAGGAGGGTACTTTTCTTAATAGCATCGTTCTAAATCTTGATTTGGGTGTTAGAAACACAGTTGTATACATCTGTCGAAAGTCATTTTAATACATACATTAAAAATAATTGCTAAATGTGCAAGCAAGAAAAAGGTCCCTTAAAAGATATTTTCAAACTGCAAGATGAGATCCTTGACTCAGTTTAACCATGTTACCATTAACATAAAGAGAAATTTTTCTAGGATTTGCCTTAAAGTAACAGTCTAGCACTCTGATAGGGAAACATATGCTATTTTTTTTATTGTGGTAAAGCAAACATAAAATTTACCAATTCAACCACTTTAAAGTATATAGCTCAATTACATTAAGTACATTCACATTATTGTGCAATCCCTATTTTTAAAAATTTCAAGTACCAGCGCTTAAGTTTTACTGTACACATGATTTCCCTGACTAGACTGTATGCTATCTCAAAGATCTTCAAATCCCCTACAGTCCAAGCAGTGCCCACAGCTGCTACTGAATACATACATTAGATATTTTTTAAAAACTTACAGTTCAAAGAATAAAATTTACTTGTAATTCCACCCACTTGATCAACAATTTTTGTACAATGAATGCATATCCTCTTTCAATATTTGTTTAAAGAAATGTATATCTTCTGTAATTGTCATCATTTTGGCAACATTTTTACATCAACTTCATGATTATGACATTTAATAGCTGTATAAACTCAGTTACCTTACTCAATAATTTTCATATCATTAGAAATGAGTTTAAAAATTTCTGCCACTGTAGATAATAGTATGATGCAGACTTTTTCCTTCAGTTGAATTTACTTAGAGTTATCCCCAAAAGGAGGATATCGGAATTAAGAGTATGAATACTACTGTAGTGCCTGATACCATCATACTATGATTTAACAAACCAATGTACCTATTTGTTATACCCGCTGAGTGATTAAACCAATGTGACTATAACAGTATCACTATACTCACTGCTACCTTTTTAGAAATCATTTTTTACCAGATAAAGAAGTAATGGGAATTTGCTGATGGATTTGAACAAAAGAATATTCTTTCCATCAGACACATTCCCAACAATGACACATAAACTTAGAGAATCTAGAATTTAGTGGAGGGAGATTATAGGAGGTAGAATTAATTCATTTTGTTATCTTTTGTGAGAGCGGGGGAAGCTACTTTAGTATTAGGAAACACACTCATTCACAGGCTGAAAAATGTGGTAATATATATGCAATTAAATACTATTCAGTCAAAAAAGGAAGGGAATCCTGTCATTTGCAACAAAAGATGAACCTGGAAGACACCCCATCAAGTGAAATAAGCTAGGCATATAAAGACAAACACTGCATGATCTCACTTATATGTGGAGTGTAAAAAAGTCAAAGAAACGGTAAAATGATGATTACGAGGCTGGACGGGGGCAGAGAAGAATAACAGAAAAGCCTAGTATAGTACAAACGAATGGAATACAAGTAACCAATTAAGTCAGTAGACAAAGCAACTTCAATGCCTAGTTATAGAAGTCTAAGCTTGAGACATGGAATATGTTTGCATTTAGTGTTGCACAAGAAAATTACAACATATTTACCTCCACATGATAGCTCATCTTGAAGCAGAACCAGGTGCACGGGGCAAGAACACCTTGTAGTACCATCCCCCTTTACAAGACAGATATGTGAACAGCCACCATTATCCTGAGCACAAGGGTGCTGTCCTGCAAAGAGAAGAGAAGAGGTGAGGATGGGGAGAGGAAGGGAAAAGAGGGGAGAGAAGGGGGAAGGGGAGAAGAGAAAGAGGGACAACCTGTCAAAACTATTTATGAAAATCAAATGTATAACCAGCTTGGACTTTTTAAAAAACTTTTATTATCATCATTATTGTTATTTTTGAGATAAAGTCTCGCTCTGTCACCCAGGCTAAAATACAGTCGCACGATCTTGGCTCACTGCAAACTCTGCCTCCCAGGCTTAAGCAATTCTCCCGCCTCAGCCTCCTGAGTAGCTGGGATTGCAAGCAGGCGCCACTATACCAGGCCAATTTTTGTATTTTTAGTAAAGATGGAATTTCACCACGTTGGCCAGGCTGGTCCAGCTTGGACTTTTATTTCCACACAGTATGATTCTTCATTCAATCTCTATACAACCTACAAGAAACTACTTCTGTCTAACCACTATCTTTAAATATTTATATATATAATATTTTAAGCAAGGTAACGGTAAAGCTCAAGTTAATTTTTGTGAATATGAAAAGCTGTTTGCTGAAACTAAAAAACTGCTAAGGAGAATGCTGAAACTTGAGTATGAATCTATTTAAAATATAAGAATTCTCCTACATTAAAGATTTTAACTCAGAAAATCCATATTTCTAGAAGACAATTTCAGTCAAAAAGTGTATTTTAATGAGGAATCTATTGAGAATTAAAGAGTCATTAGAAGAAAAAACTTAAAAGGCACATGTAACTGAACAATTCAGAAACAGATAAAATTATTTGCTTAGTCAATTGCAAAAGGTAACTTGTAATACTATAAATGTCTAACTTCCTCATGCGTGGGCTAAGTTAAATATAACTTAGGCAACTTGTCAAAGTCTGCTTCACAAGTTGTATTTTTAAAGAATTATTGTTTGGAATTTTCTATTTAGCTTGTGTTAAATGCAACTTGACATCTGTCATCACAAAATATGAACATCTAATATAAACAACTATTTATTATTTGACTCTCTTCCACAGTAACATTGGTCCTGCTTCAGTTTGTCTTAATGAGACTGAGGGAGTCAGCTATCTACACATGAGCATACTGTCCAAAACAGACATCACACATTTTATAGAATATATGGCCTTTGTAGCAGTGTTTCTCAACCTTTAATTCCACTACATTTTTGATAAACAAAAAACCCATTCTCTTTAATATTAGAAATTTTGGCCGAGCGCGGTGACTCACACCTGTAATCTCAGCATTTTGGGAGGCTGAGGCAGGCGGATCACGAGGTCAGAAGTTCGAGACCAGCCTGGTCAATATGGTGAAACGCCATCTCTACTAAAAATACAAAACTTAGCCAGGCGTGGTGGCACATGCCTGTAGTCCCAGCTACTTGGGAGGCTGAGGCAGAAGAATTGCTTGAACCTGGGAGGTGGAGGCTGCAGTGAGCCAAGATCATGCCACTGCACTCGAGCCTGGGTGACGAGTGAGACTCCATCTCAAAAAAAAGGAAAAATTTCAAAAAATGATTTACCAAATATACAATCATATTTAAATATTGAGTTACATTAAATAAAACTTCTCCCTTAACATTCTGAAAACCCTCATTGAGATTTTCTATAATAAAATATTCATATATCAACTGAATAAAGAACTTAGGTATGATGTCATTAACATACTTCCACTAAACGTTCAGCCTGAGTTACAAGTCATACCACAAAACGACAACAATTTTAACTTTCTAATTCTCCAATACATGTAACTTTACTTCTAAATTCATGAACCACAGCAACATAATGGACTCGTGTACAAGGGTACTCCTGTTTCCTCATTCTCCTTTCATGCTTAAATTCAACTTAAAAGCACTGAGACGAGAAGTTACAGAATTTCAGTAATTCTCTTTCTAGTACTCAATTTAACATTGGCATTCCTGGTATCATCATGTAAGACAGTAGTGATTGCTAGGACAGTACTTTTTAAAAAAACATTTTGCACATATAAACTCATTTATTCCTCTCTATTATGAGGGCAATTTTGATGACAGATATGAATTAAGAACTAGGCCAAGATGACTAGCCATTTAAAAAAAAAATAAAATATTTGTGGCTACTTTTTTCTCTCTCTTTTTTTTCCCTGAGGCTCATGGAGATGGCTATTTTTCTAAGCTGGGAATTGAAATATTTATCCAAAAGGAGGAGAAAAAAAACCCAAACATTTACTGATTAAACAGTCTCCTCTATGTTTACACACTAATTTTTAGTTTGTTTCACTTAAGAATAATGTTATCCCAGGCCGGGCGCGGTGGCTCAAGCCTGTAATCCCAGCACTTTGGGAGGCCGAGGCGGGTGGATCACGAGGTCAAGAGATCGAGACCATCCTGGTCAA